GGGGGGGGGGGGGGGCGGGGCAGGGTTGATGCTTTTATCTAATACCTGAGTCAATCAGCTATTAGATAAGAGCCAAAAAAAGCCCTACTAAAGCACCCAATCTATATAGATGTTGTGTGAGCTGGGTCCAGCTAACATGCTGCCTCTTCTGGGCATGCACTGGGCTCTGTGTAGAAGTGCATGAAGTTTAAAGGAATGCCAGTTTTGGGTTTTTTTTAACACCTTCAGGAAGCCAATGATTTCACGAGGTTCCTTCCAGCCCTACTTTCCTGTAATCCTATATATAGCCCATTTTAGCAAAGTACTTACTCATATACTACAGTATTTACCCAAATCCAAGACACCCCCACCCCTAATTAAGATTTTATACCTGGAACATTTATAAATGTTATAATTTTGCATGCATTTCTGTTATTGGAGGATCTTAAATTTGTGAGAGTCATAACCGCATCTCAGAAAGCTATAGGGAGACAGGTGCCAGGGGGAGGGGGAGCAGAGCAGATGGTGAGGGAGACATAAACGGGACAGGAGGTAGGGGATAGGGGTGCAGAGGCAGGCAGTTCCCCCCTTTGTCTGCCCCCACCCCCCATTTACATCACATTGTCCCCACCACCTGTCCCCCACCACTAACCCTTGCTCCAGTGCTGGCAGGATCCAACCCCTCTGCAGTCTGGGGCAGGAACCATATCCCCAACCTGGCTCCATAGCAGCAATGCAGAGCCAGCAACACTGCTGAGGAGCTGGGCTGGGGCTGTTTTCTGTGTTTCAGACTATAGTGGGGACAAAGCCTGCTAGCAATAGAGCAAGGGTAAGTGCTGGGAGGAGGGATGGAGAAAGACAGGGGTAATGTTGGGGGGAGGTGGGGAGCAGGCAGCAGCTGAAACTCGGGTCCTAACTCGGGGGTCAGGGCTGGAGCAGCAGAAGCTGCCTGACCCCTCATACTTAATTCTAAGACAAGGGGCCTTTCCCCCTATGTTAAATAGGGAAAATAGCTTGTCTTGGGCTTGAGTAAATATGGTTGTCATACTGACTTCAATGAGAATCAAGCACATGCTTCATTGCTTTATTGGGTCTGAGTAATATGGAATACAAGCAAATTATAACAAAATGGAAAACAATGGAACAAACCTTCTAACCACTATTTTATGGCAAGGTTTGGTCTTATAGTAGTTTACCCTTGGAGGAGGGTGGGTGGGAAGAGCTATAATTTCACAGACCAAATCTGGTTTTCCTAAGAGGAGGTGGGGGGAAAAAATCTTTGGAAACTTTATGGTAAGTGGACTTTGAATAACAATTCTATTTTTAAACAGCTGTATACATTACCCTTAATTTCATAACTAAATCTTTTTGTAAACTAACTAAATTTTGCTTGAGCAATATATGTAGCAGAGACAAAGGGAATTCAGAATCAAAAACATCTATGAAAGTGAGTTATATTTGTTATTGTATACCTACTAATTAGAAGTGATGTAGGTTGTGAGAAGGTTTTTTCCTAGATCCAGAATATTGAAGAGAGCAGTCTTTGTGAGAAGGGAAAGGTCCATTAATACAGCCTGCCTTAAGTTCTTCATAAATCATCCCCTTTAATATGTTGGTTACTCCTAATAACCAAATCTCCTTGCTTACTGGTGGCAGGACATCCATTCCCTCAATATTTTTAGCAGTTTCTTCTGAAACACAGCTGACAGCTCTCTATGAAGAGATGAGAAACATATGCATTTCTGAACTGTGCAGACCTATCACCTTGGGCTTCTAGTCTCATTCTGAATGAAGATCATAAGGCCTCTGGCAGTATTTTTATTGTTAACAGCTTGGAACATAGTGCATAGGTCTGGTTACTAGCAAGAGGCATGTTAGATTTAGTCATTTAAAACTGCAGTAGCATGAGAAGTATGGCATGCATGAACTCAATTCAAAAGCAAGAAGTGGGGTAAAGTTGACTGGTTTTAGGGCCCAGCTGTAGACCTAGATATTCATTATTAGAAAACAGATACACACTGAAAATAAACCATTTTATTGGGGGGAAAAAAACAGAAGGCACAATTAACACACAATACACCATATTCAACAGGAGTACAATGGAATGTTAACAGGAAAAAGTTTCTCAACAACACACTTCCAGTAAAATCTGCACATTTTATTTAAGAACAAATATAAACCACTACTACTATACAGCCCCCTTTTGCATGTGTCTGAGTTTCAGAGTGGGAGAGTCACAACAGCAGCATCATATCCAACCAGATTATTTCCTTATCATTTATCAGTTATCCAAAAAATGTACTTAGAGTCTGTCTCATCATAGCAAAAATATAAGGCTTTCAAAGACAAACTTTGCCAATACAGAGTTTATCAACTACAAGCAAAGAGAAGTTGTCATACTAGGCATTAAAAGTTTTGTTTGTATTTAAAACACACGAGGGGATGCAGTAATTTAAAATTATGGTTTCAAGATTAAATTCTTTGTAACATACTGAAAACTTATTACTTTTAAATTGCAGGAAGTCAAGTCTTACAATATTTAAAGAATTCTAAAATGTTATTTCAAAAACCATGTTAAATGACAACTAATTATTGCTGTAACAGTACACAGACTTTTGTTTCCCAGAGTAAATATTTAAAATAGAAGCAATTTCAACTACAAATCTAAAGACGTGTTCAGGCAGCTGAAGTAACCAGTCACTGTCAGTCAAATGCTGATTTCAGAACACTATGTATTAGGTCTAGGCATTTAGTTCCACTTCCTGCATATATACTGAATCTAAAAATCTTGGAACTAAACTTCTAAATATCACTATTAAATTACAGAATAGGAAAAATTCGCATAGACTCAGTTTTTAAATAAATTATGAATATTAGCAGCAGACTACAATGCAGTTTGTTTCCCCCTCCCATTTTTAAGACAGTGTAACAGGCCTTAGGTAACTTGTGAAGTAGTCTATTTCCCTGCATTTTTGCAATTTAAACCTCCAGCAGTGATGTTTGCTACTCTCATACTACTGGCTACACTGTCTACAATTAAAGGATAAAACAATATCAAACGAATATAGCATTTGTGGTGTTAAGAGCTCTAATATACATAACAAATGGACCTGCTGTACGGTCTGATATAGTTTTGGAATATGAAAAATATAAGAAGTCACATTTTGCAGATTTTTTGTTTAGAAATAGCATTGCTTGTATGTTAGGAGAAGGTTTTCAAAGGCACAAATTGGAGTTAAACAACAGAATGCTATTGTAGTTTCAGTGCATAGTTATTACAATTATAGCTAGATCACTAAGAGTACTAGGAATATTATTGGATATGCTCTTTTCGGTGTACACAATACCCATGAACAGTAGCAGTGAAGGACATTGTTGTGAAAAGAGAAGTCAAGAAAGCCCCAAATGAGTGTGCATTTGGAAACATCCTACTTTTCCAGTCCTAGAAAATCTCTAACTCTAAACCATTTCTTAAAGAGACATATAAAATAACACAATGTGTTTTATGGCATATAAAGAAGGCCTGAAAGTTTTATTTTTATCTTAAAACTACAGGAATATGAATTCTCATCTTTCTTTAATTTGTTGGAGACCTTGGGAGTGGAGAACTACAATGGACTCTCAACCCTTAGGATATTCAAGTAGTGACTCTTCTTAGCAGGATTTTTCCTTTTAATTGTTAATGGTTAAACCTGTAAATGTAATAGATGATACAGTTTTAAAAAGTCTGTTTGGAAAAAAAATACTGATATCTTTATACTGGCTATATCTCAAAACTACCAGTTTAATTAGTAGTTCAGTCTTTCATTAAAAACAGGATAGATAAGACCTGAATTTCTAATAAAAAAATAAAAATATTTCTAAAGACAAAAACATTCTAGCCTTTTTCATATGCCAAAGACAGCATCTTTTGTGTATTGGCATCTTTAATTGTTCAGAATGTACAAAGGCAAGTGACATAAAAGCACTTCCTTATCTGTTGAGGGAATGGAAAATGCTCAGAGCCCACCACTCCAGGAAGCAAGACATCCTACTTTGGTTATGCTCCAGAGAAATAACAAAATAGAAGCAATATCTCCCAGGCTCTGGTATTATTCTTCCTTAATGATACAAGTAGAACAAACCACCTCTGCATTGCTGCAGTATCAAACAACCTGTTACCCACTTCAGCCATTTTCATTTTTGTTTTTAGTGATAAAGAGTAAAGAAACCATTCAACTTCATCTTCAAAAAATGAATTAAATCGATATAATTTTGCAGATGATGCTAAGAGCAGCAGCAAAATAGAGCATCTTTTCATTGTTTTTCAAATATTTACTTTTCAGAGTTGCATTGTTTTTCAAATATTTACTTTTCAAAGTTGCCCACTAGTCAGTTATAAAATGTGGTATTCATAAAAAATAAGTCTGTAAGAGCAGTGAACAATTAAAGAAAAGTCAAAACATCACTGTAGAGCCCCAGAAACGCCCCAGTTTAAAAGGGAAAGATCCCAGTAAAATGACTTGGTGCCTTTATAATAGATGTATTATCAGTTACATTCTATTAAAAAAAAATTCACAAGACTGAGATTGATTGTGCCTTGAGCACGAGAGGGTTGGATTAGATGACCTCCTTTTGAAGTCTCTTCCATCCTAATTTTCTATGATTCTATGAAATGTAATCAAGTTTACTCTACTTCTATATTTAAGCAAAAGCCATTCTAAAAAAAAATCTTTATTCTTGGAAAGGAATTAAACCTGAAAAAACTAGCTACTGAATTCCCTTTATTTATATTCATTTGAAATTACTGGAAGAGAATTCATGTAGTTTTTTTCTTCCTCACACCACCTTTAAAATGCAGAGGTCCTCCACTTCAGAAGTTGACATGACAAGATTCTTCGACTGCATTTTGGAACTGGGTTTCTTCGTCGAGCTGAAGATTCTAAACACAGTAAAAAAAAATTACAATCTGTTTCTTTCCATCCTGTTTTTTTACTCTATCTTCATTGCTTGTTTCCCCATGTATAGTACAGTGAATGGCAATTAGGTGAAGGCACTCTTGTTGAAATACAATTAACCAGCCTTGCTGAGTGTATTTCTTAACCAGACAGAAGAAGGAACCAGAGGACAAGAGAAAACAGCAGAGGAACAAAACTCTGCAGCCCTGTGAGTCTAATCCATCTCCTCACCCTGCCTCAGTTTGACTGTGGAATAATCAATTAGCAAGTGATCAGTGTCATGTAATTCTTCTGATAGGGCTTTCAGTCAGACAACACACAGCTCTTCAGACCACATTCCCATATTCTGATTGCAGTTAACTCATTTATCAAAACAATAAACACCACAAAGTGAAGCATATGGGTGGGTTCTGTGATGGCTTCTGATCAAAACAGAAGTGTCTTAAGGAACTGTGTAAGGACAAAAACAGTGGTGAGCTTAAGAATGTAAGTATGAACTAGCTGAATCTGTTGCCATCAATCACTTGTCTCTGGTATGAACAATAAATGCTACTGACAAGTTTGAGAATGGACAGAACTACATCTAAGTACGTAGCTGTTTCCACATCAGCTAATCAAGTTTTCTGTGGACTGTGGCCACAAAAATGAACTTAGTCTGAGAACTGTTCTAATTTAGTAATTTTCATTCATCAGTAGATTTGGGGAGGGGCA